ATTCTAAGAAGATGAAAACATTTTTTCAGCTTTATTTTCACCTTAGTCTATATCAGATGCCTAAAAGTGAGACTGACGTGAAAATGAAATCCTTGAAGCAATGTTTAGTGCTCCTAACTTTGTTGGGAAAAACGAGTGTTACAGCGTCACGACGATAAAACATAATTATTGAGGAATGGAAAGCTGTTTTGAAAGATTCTTTTTTAGCAATCAGCAGCTCGTTTACTTCTCTACAAATTTTGTTCGAGGTGCTTTTTATTAGTTCTTCTAAATTCGCAGCAAATTAGCTTTTAATGAGAAGCACTTCGAATTTAGGGCCTTTTTTTGTCATAGCGTCTCGCGCCGAAAAACGGTTCTAAAAATTCGAGTCTTTAACCCCATACCTTCATTTTTATAACAAAAGTAGTATATGGCGAGGTCCGTCGAATGGCGCAAATACGAAGTTTCTAGCTGTTAGTTTCTGTCCGATCTATGAGCATATCTTTCGCCTTAGACACTTTGAGGAGACCTTTCATTTGAGACCAAGATAAAAGACCTGCCAGCGTCGGATCGCACGCTATAAGCGTTGTAAAATCATCAAATCTGCTGATAAATAGGGACAACATCGTCTTTCTACTGGGACAGTGTTTTGCCTATAATTTTTTTCCGACAAAGATAGCGATCTGCCGTTCAGTGTACCAAATTACATCAGCAAAGGCGCTTTTCGCCACTGACACACATACTTTTATATATCTTACTAGGCATCAACATAGACTTGGTCTGCATCTTATCGTCATCTTCACCAAAATCAACCATGAAATAACTTATAATGAACTTTACCTGGTTTCTTTCACTTTATTTTTTCTTCAACTTTTCATGGATTTGTACGACGATGCCAACTCATCCCCTGGCAATGCTTCCTTGCCAATGGTACACCCAGGTCAACTTTCTTGCAGATAAAAACTCGCGGCGCGAACGCGTCATGCGACTAGCATCGTAGTTGCTAAAATTGACGGTTCCATCATCATCTGAGATTAAGTCGCGAGGCAAAATTAGATTTAGATATGTCGAGCAGTTTTCTTCATAACTCGAATACAAGGTCGTTATTTCTTCAACTTTCAACAATATCGAATGCTAATTTCGAACTATTTACAGACGCTTCTGGAAGTATCGATAATGCGGCGGTTTTTTAAGACAGGTACTTTCCGGCACCTGGGACGTAGATTTCTTGAGTATAGCACAGAATACGCGAGAAAGTGCATTAATTGAGTTATTTCCAGTCGGATCTTTGTTCATTTTATTCATTCTTAAAGCAGATTTAGACAAGAAAATCCGCCACCACCCCAGTCACCTGCTCATTGCATTCAATATAGCACCATAAGAGCATTACGGTGCAACTTGTACGCTCTAAAGACGAGCACTTTCGTGCAAATCAGCAACAACCGGTACATCTTTCTAACATACATTAACAACATGCACACGTTTCAATCACATCCAGTCTAACTGTTACTGGTAACACTAATAGTGCCAGTATTGCTGTTACTGGTAATAGGAATACTGTTCAGTATTACTGTTACTAGTAATAGTATTACTGTTACTGGTAGTACTGGCAACAGTAATATATACCTTTTAGTATTACTTTCCTCGGTAATGTAATACATGAGTAATAGTAATACTGCCACTCCTATTGAGATGTGGGTCTCCGTAGACGTAGGATCAGACTGGGTGTGATTGAAACGTGTGCATGTTGTTAATGTATGTTACAAAGATGTACCGGTTGTTGCTGATTTGCATGAAAGTGCTCGTCTTTAGAGTGTACAAGTTGCACCGTAACTTACGATGCTATATTGAATATGCAATAAGCAGTAGGCTGGGGTGGCGGCGGATTTTCTTGTCTAAATCTGCTTAAAGAAAACGAAACTATTATCTACGATTACCGAGTCACAAAAATTTACATATCCGCACTAGAAATTTACGGAGAAAAGTAACGAAACCATGATGGACGAATCGAAATGTGAGACTAATCGGGTCGCTGCATAAACATACATTAACGCAGTAGCCTTAATTACCTGTTCATCCCATCTCCCCTAACTGTACTTCTGTACTGAGACTTCCAAGGAACACAGATCACAGGAAATTCACCGTATACGACAGTCGTAAACCGCCGTATTTCGTCGTAATACAACCGCCGTATACGGCTGATGTATATCGCCGTACATTGCCGTATACGGTCGTTTACGACCGTGTCTATTGGACCTGGGAAGGTGCAGATCATAACAGCCACTAACGCAGAAACCTGTTTCGAGTGGCACCTAGGAATTTAATTAAATACGTCGGTACTCTAGCTCTTGCGGCTGAAGCGGCAGTACCTATTCGAATTGAATGTCCAGAATAATGTAGTGGTTTACAGTCTAGTGAATCCAATAATCTGCTCAAATGATCAATTAGTATGTAACGAACGAGAATACTGTCGTGTTGAAGGACGAAAAGTGCCTTGGACGGAAATATTAATTTCGTACGAAAGGTGAGATATGTACACATGCAAGAGAACGGACAAATTCTGTGTCTAGTTGCGTAATATGGGATCCTAGTTTCGCAATGCCATTTATTCGTTTTTGATCTTTTGAGAGTGAGTACCATATGCTGATGCGGGAACATAATATCATTTATAGTCAGGTCCTTGTTGGGGTTAAATTTGTCAGTTGTAAACTCGCTAACGCGAAGAAAGCCAGTATAAATGCTACTTTGAGCGTCATACCGCAGTAGGGAGAGAAAAACGAATCATTTAGAAGATCGCATAGTGTGATTAACAGTCGCCATAAATCAACCAGGCGGACATAAAACGAAAGTGTTATTTTTCAAAGTTTAAGCACTGGAATAATTACTTCTGTCTTTGATCTGTCTTGCCCTGAAATAGCACTTTCAGAACTTAAGTTGAACGTTGGAAAAACACATACTCAGAAATTTGTTCAAAAATCGCTCTCCTCAGATAAAGTTAATTTTTGGCCCACTTATTGGAATAGTTTAATTTGAAAAACTATCTGAAAAGAATTATTAACCTATGAGCTCCATTTTAATGAAAAGATCGTTTAGATTGAACTCAAACTGCTACAGAAAAAAAATCTACTACTGCAGTAGGCTAAAATCGAGTATCAAAAATGCATCATTCTGTATTTTGTAAACGCTACAAACAGCTAAAGTTCAATCGAGCTCAACCTTTCGCCAAATATTCCTCTATGTGTGTTCTATCGTGAACCATAGCGCCAATTACTCCCAGTGATTCTGGATTGTGCTCGAGGTTTTCCAAAAAACCATGGATTTTGGCCCTAAATGCATTTTTTTGAGACTAATATAACATTTTAGCGCAAAACCAACGTGATATTCAGAATTAGCTCGTCGAGCTGCATCGAACCATATACAACATTGATTTTTTCATAAAACTTTTTAAATTTTCTATTCTAAAATTGTTTCGGAAAATTCACCGCTCCGTATTTTGTAAACGCTACAAATAGCTAAAGTTCCATCGAGCTCAACCTTTCGTCAAATATTCTTCTATGTGTGCTCTACCATTGACCATAGCGCCAATTAGCGTCAGTGATTCTGCATTGTGCTGGAGGTTTTCCAAAAAACCATGGTTTTCGGAGTTCCAGAACTGGCACCCGATGACTGCCTTGAGAACGGATGGACTACAGGTAATCGATCATGCTGAGCCTCGTGTCCGCCTGCTCTAGCCAAAATTGCCCACTGTGCGCCGACAGGTAATTGATTTTCTTATGGTTTTACTTGGACCATGTAATCATTCTGCTGTTTTTAGTAACGTACTGATAAAAAACTTCTGAGTACCATTTGTATGTCGCAAGGGATCTTTTAATCCGGATTTTAATGCTTGGAACCTAACCGCAGCCAAGTATAAACGGATTATGCCTGCTCTTAACCTAAGCGTTCCTGCACAGTAAGCAATGAAATCTTGCAGTGAACGCTAGCCAAGAGGATTATTTGTAACAATGGTGGTATCACAGATATTCAGAAACTTTTCGAACGCTTGCACTCCGGTTAAATGCGATTTCTTTGTGGCATTAGAAAGTGCCACCGCTCATAATTTTGACTTCCAGCGGTAGACAGAAATTTGAACATTATTCGCTCGTCTTGAAAAATCACCCCATGACCGAAGAAAAAGCAAATAATTTTCGTTCTTCTGTTTATTCAGATCTTTGAAGTTTCTTCTTTTTAGAGTTATCAAAATGTACATGAAATTTCGGCAGAACTCTGAAACTTATGTAACGATGATTGATTTCTGGCGGAACATTCAACCCGATCGGTTACCTTGCTCACTAAGTTTTTCTACTCGAAAGCGATTTATCACTTAGGAAGCTACGCTCTTTAGCTAGTTTCTGATCTTGGCGCCTATTGGCCTGTTTTCTAAGCTTTTAGCCAAAAAATTGTAATAAAAAACAACAAATATTCTAAAAAATTAAAGAGTTCAGTCGGGATGAATCTATGTGGAAATGAATATCCTATGAAGAAGTGTTCTACTATTCTCAGATGCCGTATGATCCTCAGTCAAAGAACAGATATTTTCCAACTAACGTAGTAGTATATTAAAATCATCGCTTCCATTCGAAAAAGATTAGAAAGAATCTTATTAGAAATCAACTACTTTTGTGAAAAGAAAATATATCTCTTCAAGAAGAGAAACTTTCTTAATGTAAAAGTGCCCTTGGAAATTTGGTTTCGATTATTTTTTGTAATGTGACTCTCTAGAATAAATATTTATATACCGTACACAGGTACGCAGATAAAATATTATTCATCGTATTATACTTTTGATCTTATATCTTTCTTTTTGTAATTTCAAAAAAACACAGTATAATCTGAAATATCATCTGCGCAGAGAGAGAGAAAGAGAAACATTTTTTAAGCAGGCAGTATTCTTTCTTATCTTTTTTGAAAGTTGACGTTAAGTAACAGTCAAATTTATCTTCCTTTTCGTGCTTCAACTTCACAAGAAATTTCTAAAAAAGATGTGTGCATCTCGTATTTGGCCTATTCCACCAGGTGCTAAACAACATAAACTAGCTTTGGTGATTGGTAACACTATCTATGAAAGTGGCAACAGCTTGAGGAATCCAGTTCATGATGCAAATGATATGACCACAGCACTAGAATCAATTGGATTCAAAGTTATGAAAGGACTTGATCTGAAGTATAATGATATGAAATCTCAACTAGCGGAATTCGTTCGGAGAATTGAAAAGTACGATTTGGTTTTATTCTTTTTTTCTGGACATGGTACACAGTCGGAGGTAAGCTGATGTATTTGATAAATTGAGAATTCGGTGTCTCTTACCAGGGCAATCAATCCGACCGTCGGATTTTGTCGGATCAATTTGACTTCGTTCTGAGAAAAGCAAAAACAACCCAGGCCAACTGTCATGCCACATTTGCGAAGTGATCGCACCGTCGCTATAGCGATCGCTGTGAACTCCCATCACTCGCGACGTGATTGCTATAAAGTCACGCTCCCGCGACGACATCTTAAGAAAGTCTTAATTTATCGAAAATCTTTTTCTAACAGACATGTCGCGATTTACTATCACGGCGTGAACGCTATGCCGCGGTGCGATCATTATTGAGTCGCGAAGAAGACATTTTTAAGAGTCGTGGTGAGTTCACGATGTCGCGATGCAACTCTTGCGATCGCGTATTTCAACAGACGTACTCTGCTCAGTCGTGCCACGACTCCTGCTGCAACAAGCTTTTGTTCAAAAGACTTTCTTAGTCGCGACGCGATCGCTAAAAAACCTTGTATTCCCATCGCGATCGTGCTGAATTCTTAAAAAGATTCGCTACTCGATTAATGTTTGCGGCGCGATCGCTATACTGTTGCTATGTCGCGGCGCGATCGCTATAGATTCGCGATCTAGCAGCGGGACTTGAAAAGTTGATAAACTTTCAAAAATCCAAGTGAATATTTCTTAGTGCGGTCTCTATATTATCACGGCACGGTTCGCGATATGTCGAGTCGCACCAAGACAATCACAGATATATAAACAGTAGTATTGGCCTAGTCGCGTCGCGAGTCGTGATTGTTCTGTATTATACCTTATATTATCTTTCTCAAGTTATATAACATACACACATAGTAAGAAAAAGAAAAGAACAGGCTACGTGTATGTGTGTTGCGCTCATGATTATGTTGTTCTCTTCTCTTATCTTTAACCTATTGTGTACATAAGGAGTATATTTTTTTTTAATAGTCATTTCTTTTTTGTTATCCCAGTGTTAAGATCACTTTATCGTGTAGTCTATTGCAGCCATGCACTGCTTTTCTAAATTTTTTGTTTTAATATATAAGTTTAAAATATTAAATAATATATAACCAACTAAAATTGTGGTAAGTACACAGCAATTTCAGTGTGTGGAAGCAGGAAAAAAAATGACCTTTCGTTTTTACTACATTTGTTACAAAGTTGAGCCGTTTTTCTCCTAACAGTTTTGAAAGTCAAAAACTGGGTTACCTTTGTCAGAAAATGCACAAGATCTGGGCGATTCGCCTGTATAGGTCCAATTAGCATTTGGACCGTGTTAAAAGATCTCAAAATAAATGCACTAAAGGGAGAAATGCACCAAATGGCTGATTATCGTCTCTGTATGAGTTTCCTCAGTGAAATATCGCTTTGTTGTTAGTGACTTACAGGATGTAGCGAAGATCAGTTCGGTCCTGTTTGACGCACAGTGGATAGCGACATAGTTCCATAGCACCTCATTCACAGGATACTAGATTAGCTCTCGGCTCCAGCAACGAATTGTTCATAGTATTTCTCGGATACACATCCTCTGTAAGTACAAGCGTGATGTTTCATCACATACAGCAAACGTTTCCTTACGGTAAAACCCATAGACGAGCAATACGATATCAATCTATCTCACGTATATTTTAAGATGTAATTCCAGCCTCATGGCAAATCAGAATTTAAAAATATAGGTGGATACCGTTAGATCAACCGTTGATGATATTCTTAAAGCATTCACTTTCGAAAATGATTTTTCAAAATACCTGACTTAACCATACTTCAAAAAAAAACATTTAGTTCAACTTTGTAACAATAGAAAATGACTATTAAAAAAAAATATACTCCTTATGTACACAATAGGTTAAAGATAAGAGAAGAGANTAGTTCAACTTTGTAACAATAGAAAAGGCGAAAGAACTTCTTCACTTTCCACTAGATATACTATTCTGAAATAACTGTGTACTTGTTACGTGCATCATGTTCCGAAGAGTAAGCCGGTAAAACATGGTGCAGTTAAGTGCCAAACTGGATGCTGACATAGTATCCTTCCTCCCTGAAATGCAAACCTCTGATATTACTCTTTTTCTGATGCTTATATTTCTGTTTGTGACTTTACTGTGATTTGTAATGTATGTAAATACTGTTGAATGAACATGTAGCAAATAGGGCTGCTACATTACTATTACTTTTTATTACTATTACTCGTAATAAGTAATAAAAATGACAATTTTTATTGCTTATTACATTTATTACTTTTTGGTTTTATAACTTTACAACAAAAATAAGACATGATAATAAGAAAGTAATAAGAGTAATAAAAAAAAGTAATAACTTTTATTACTTATTGCTAAATAATAAGTAATAACGTTTTAGTTATTACTTATTACTACTATCCATCCAAAAAGTCGGTGCGTGTGACTATTTTTTGAATAACTTGAGAACACAA